GCCAACGGCCGGCACCGGACCGTTCAGATCGACGAGAAGAAGAAGATTGGCAGGCAATTGTCGGTTGCCTCGAGCACTAACAACTATGCGGAGATTCACCGTCAGCAGGCCGAGAGAGCACTCAACGGCAACGGCGGTCTCGCATCGCCGCCCAACGGTCACAAGGAAAGCTTCTTCTCACACCTTCGGAAACGCGCTCGTCGCTTCTCAGGCAGGCACCAGGCCCCTATGTCGCCCAATTCGGACGATGTCGAGGCCCAGGCCGGTTGTGGTCCTTGGAACAGCAACAGATCATCCATGGTGATTGACAACGCGCCCACTCCCCCGCCGAAGCCTACCGAGATCTACGAGCCGCTCGACAAGGCCCTGAGAGACGTCCAGCAGACCCAAGACCACGCCCCTGTTCCTCCCGCGCATCTCATTACCCCCAGCAGCGCCCTGAAGAGACACCACTCTCTGCCGCAGCACCAGCCGCGGTCAGTCGACAACCTGATGGTGGCTGCAAGAGGGGCTGGACCGATCTCGAGCCGAACCCGACGCCAGGGTGTCCAGCACTACGATGCACCCGACGAAGAGGACGAGCTGCTTGACGAGGTTCTCAATTCGACTCACCGCGCCATGAACCGCCTTGACAAGGATGGGAAGCCTGGCCTGCGTCAGTCTGTCAGCAATCTTGGCATGTCGAACCCGTACCCGACCCCGTCCCCCTCAGCCAACGGCAACTCTGTTCTTTTCGGCGACAACCATGAAGCCGTCACACCCAAGCCTTTGAACCTCCAGAAGTCGCACGGCGCCGAGAGCCAGTACAAGTGGCCCACGCCTCCGTATGAGGAGAGCGAATGGGCTGCTTCGGCGTCTGCCAGTATTTGGGCGGCTAGCAACCGGTTCTAAGGCGGGGCGGCCTTGAGGCTGTGCAGAGTCCACCGCAAAAGTTTCTTGTGTATTCACATGCATGGGCCTGGTGTTTTTTGGCGTTTGCCGGTGTACCAACCTCGTCGTCCAGGTGGAGGCGATTTTCGTTCCGGATCTCGGGTTTCTTTCGCCCATGTATTTGGGGAGCAGGGTGGCATTTCGATCATTCCACGATATCTTCGATACCACAGGGCGGCACACTTGTCCGCCATCGCGCAAATCTTTATTTCTTTCTGCCTTTTTATTTATTTATCGACTCACTTGTTTCGAAATACCCGATACTATAGACTGGAAGGGCTGCCGATGGCGCCCTCTACCAAAGACAACATTTCTTTTGTTTCTGGGGCTCACACGGGCAAGGAGTGGCGGTCTCCCAATCTGGAAGAAAAAGAACACGGTTCAATAGGGATTGGGGGGAAAGATAAGGGGGACAACTATCGTTGCACAATTCTGTACAAGGAAGGACAAGGACACAATATTTTCTAGATTCTCTGCGGGCTGGACACGTCAGACGACTCGGAGAAAGCCATGTTGTGGCCAACGGATGCCCAAATGGATAGTTTGTCATATATGGACCGCGGAAAAACACAAATGGTATACATATGGGCGACCCTATCAAAGCTACTCGGCAATGCTGAGTCCCGCGTTTGTGCGTTCACAATCGCGTGGAAACTATCAAACTTTTTTTTTGGTTTCGAGGATGAGGTGGGATAAAAGCAAATAGTCGGGAAGAGGGGGGCTAGGGGAACTGTACGTAGGCGGGCGATCTTTGGAGTCCTGCTATAACCATACTACATAATAATAGGTGGCATCCGAGAGATGCACACTGGTTACGAACCACATCTACAGTCTTGTGGAGGTTTGGGAGAATTTTGTGAAATGCCTAATCTTTGAGAATGTGAGGCAAGAGCTTCCAATTGACTCTTGGCTCAACACTTCGGACGGTTTAGACACGCGGGCGGGCGCGGGTGTGGCTTGGACGCCTCTCCCACGGCCGGTGATCCGTTCCGGTAGCGTGCTGTGCGTTGAGTTGTACCTTGCGGTGCCAGAGAGGCGGAGTCGGGGGGTGTGTGGTGTGCGTGTGGTTGGGGGAAGGGGAGGGGGGCGGCGCGAACGGGTTGGCTGCTGCAAGGAGCTGACGGGCGCCCAGCGCCAGGCGAAGGTTCGGACGGAAATGATATGCTTACCGGATGCCATGCGCTGGGGGAAAGCCAATCAAGCCGGACGGGGCGGGCTACGTATGCACGAGGCGATATGCTACGTAACGCAGCTTGCTGCGGTGCGGACCGAGCAAGGTAGGTCTGGTCAGCATTGTAGTGTGGTAGCCGGCCAGGTACAGGCGCAGATGAGAGGCAGGATCTGGGTTGCTTCTGCTGCGGCCGGCCGGGTCCGGGGGGGCCGGGTCTGGGGGGCGCTTTGCGGCGCGGGTGGGAGGCACCGGGGATATACAGGTGCTTGGGAGGGGCGGTGTTCTTTTTGGGGGGAGGAATTCGTTTTCTTTGGTCTTGTGGATGGGGGCTTGTTTCTCCGTGGTTGACTTGGTTTGGTTGGTTGCGGTTTGACTGAGCGTGGGATGCTTGGGTTTTCTGTTCAGCCGTGGAGGGGTCGGTCTCGACGCTTGGTCGTCGGGTTTGGGGACCCATGGGGGCCATGGATGGGCGGATTGGCCGTGAGACCTGCGTGCTCGCGGATTCGATCACCTCTCGAGCTGTGTTTGTTGTTTCGACAGCGGCAGGTTGATCACGTCTTGGGTATTTTTGGGTGGCGGCTCCTCCCGGAATGCGGCCGGCTCTGGAACCCTGCGTCACCGGGGGGTGAGGAGCGGAATGAGGACGGCGTCGGCGTGTGTTGGTATGGGACGCCTAGGAGACATGCGACTTCTGGGCGTTGACAATAGCATGAGCCCGTCCGGGATTCGCATCCGTGGGTGCGATGTTGATTCGCGGCGATGCGGTTCGACAACAACCCGGTGGAATCCTTCGTCATCTCGAGTGTCTCGCACATGTCGGCGTGGCCAAACACGTCCTGAGCCGTATTGTTTACCGGGGGAAGAGGCTCGTTTGCATGACGACACGCACCTGCATGACCCAGCAGCTCAAGCTCATGCTGGAAAGCGAACCGGCTTGCGTACCCATGGGGTTGTTTGGTGGCCCGTGTGCATGTAAGCTTGTCGCCCAGCATCACGATGCTTGCTTTTGGTGTCAACTTTTGGCCTCTGAATGCCTTGACACGGAAGAAACCCAACTCCCCCGCCCCCATGAAAAATAATGATGAAAAACCACGCCTGTTCCTCCCTGATGGGCTACAAGTGACATCCGATCGATTTTTGAATATCCATGCGTTGCCCGAAACTGCATCGTCGTCGCCAACCGAGGCAAAACATGCAGATTCCAGGCCCGGACGGAAAACAAAAACATACAACACCAGGTATTCGCTGGTCGTCACCGACCCAACTACTAATCCGGCCCTCATTGGCTTATCTAGGGGAGAGCGGACGGGATCCCGAGTTTTCCAATGGGTATGGTCGTATGTGGTGGTTTGAAGTGGTGAGGTTGATTATACCGGAAGCAGAGAGCCGTTTGCCGGATAGTGTTCGGGTTGGAAACTTGGGCTTGGATACGGAAACGGTGACCTCCGTCCAATGGAAAGACCAACTGAAAGAACAAGGGGTCGGCTTGGCTGACTATCGGTATTTTGGTTTATGAGACACTGTGATCGGTCTGGTTTGCGTCCCGGAATCGGCAGCAACACGTAGTCAAAAAAGAAACGGCGTGTCGTTCATACATCGACGAAGTTTTCCCTTCGGATCAACGTGTAACCAGTAACTCGGCTCGGTTTCGAGCCTGGAGAGCATTGAAACCCAGTGGTTTCTTCTCTCCCACGGGCTGCCGCTTGTCTCGACAACTCCAAGCGGGAGGCGCTCGTACCGGCAACTGGTGCTGTCTCGGTTTCGTCCTGAGGTCTGGGGTGGACGACATCGCGAGGGGCAGTACACCGATCTACCCGAGGAACGATGCTTCCTTTTTCCCTTCTGGCCCGCCGGTTCATCCCATCTGTGCCTCGCGGGTGTGGCCGCGGTCTTATATCTCGGCGAGGTTCGTTTTGACGGGAGAAAACAAAGCAAGTGTCTTGGATGTCTCGGGACGTGGAAAGAAAGGGTCGAAAACAGTAGGCCGTGTCTTGTACAACGTCGAGTATCCCCCGGCCCTTGTCTTTTTTTCATGTACGTGTGTGTTTGAGAACCTATATTTAACTTGAAATAAGTCGCAGGGCGTCGTCGGCCTCAAGGCACCTGTCGGTCCGTAAGGCTGGTTCATCGACCAAATCAACGGCACTCTACACCCAATTAAAACCAGCTCCCTCCAGTCACCTCGGGACAAAGACCGCTGAGACAGAAAGATACCATGGCCGTATAGAGTGTTCAATTGGTACCGGGAAACTACTTATAAGTCGTCCCGAGGCTCATGTTACACCGTGGACGGGGAGAAGGGTCGCGTTACACGACACATATATCCAATCTGGCAATCGCCCGAAACCTGCAACGGTCCTCGAGTTGTAATCTTGAGCAGTTGGGTCTTTGCAGACGGAGATGGGATGGAGACAGAGTCTCGGAGAGTTGCCGGGGAGTCAGTCGTGTAATTACCTAGTCGAGGTCCATCCCTTGTGCCTCGACCTTGAGGGCGGCATGGCGTCTTCGATGTCTGCTTTTACCGTGGTGTCCTTGGTGCTGCAATACTTGAGCAGTGCTGTCAGGCCTCTTCCACTTACAATGTGCCAGCAACTCCGGATATCTTCTATGCGGCCTTCGAGTCAAGTCCAACATGATCAGATTTGACTGATTTATCCTGTGCATAACGTGCCTCCTATTACAGGAAAGTCCACATCACCTTTGCAGACCACCTCGTCACGGTCCCTAAGATACACAGCGCCAACCCGAGTTGCACTGGACAATCAGCCGACATAGTCTCATATACCTCTTCTGACGAAGCCCCATCCGAACTCCACCAACGTGGACTGCACACTCCGTGCCCTAGGACGCGCCCACGGATCCATGTTCCGTTATCCGCCAGCGGCGCTTTCATCACCAGGCGATTATAGTTTAACGGTTAGAATACCTCGTTGTGGCCTCTCAACCGGCTCCGAGGAGATGGAAGTTCGATTCCTCCTAATCGCAAACCTTTTTGAGATTTCCGGCGGTATACGACTCTGCACAAGCGTAAGGGGCCGCTGCTCTCACTTGAGATGAACAGGGTTGAGACACGAGAAGCGCTGTCTTCTGTAAACTACCGCACAAAGTACGGTACGAATGCCTCGTTGAATCATTATCCTAGCCGGAGTCTTCGCCGCGGTAGTCGCTTGCGGAAGAGACGAGGGGATCCTGAGGTTTGTTGAAGTGCAATTGTGCTTCGGCCATGTGCATTCCAACGGCGCTCCGCAAGCATTACGTGATGCAAACCGCTCGGTGGAGCTCAAAACTGACCGAGCATTCTCTTTTTGTGGTTTTCGGCACCGTGTCTTCGGCGTTCCTGCCCGAGACTCGAGGTCGAGGGCTCCACTGTATAGACTCCCTTCCTTCGTCCCTCTGACAAAAGACAAGACGCAAAGGCGCGGAGAGGAAGGGGCATTGAGTCGGAAATCCTTGCTCTTGAACAGCACGTGCAGCGAATGCGACGCTGGCGTTCGTCATTGCCTACGTTGTTCCCTCGGGGACAGATCGGAAAAGTGTGGAAATGGACGATCTCTTGGGGCACGACTGACGAGGCGTGGTACGTCGACCTCGCTCAAGCGAGACGCGCCAAGAACGCATGTTCGGGAGTCTCTCCGGGCCTCGGGCGAGGACTCGTTCCGAGGTCACATGACATCAGCTTGGCCACCTGTCCGAGCCTGGTGTATTATGTCAGCAACACGGAGCACGGTACTTTGAGAACCCAACCTTCTTTGTGCCGTCCTGCACCTGCACCTGCGCCTCATGGGCATAGCGCCAGTAATAGTAGCAGGGGGGCACCAGCGGCGGCCAGCTCTGGAGCAACCCAAAGGCGCGCTTTCAGCCCTTTTGACGGCGCAAGTAGGCACGTTAGTGGGGCAGTGCTTCCCTGTGGTTCCTTTCGCCCTGCCTTCCCCCTCTTACCCTACCTGACTTTACCGCTGGTGGTGCTTGAGCTCAGCTAAGGGTACCTCGACCTTGCTCGACCAGCCCAGCGCCGTCTTTCCTGTCCTCATTCCTTCCATCGAGGAAGACAGGAACTCGATTAGGCAGCAGAATACTCCAAAGACTGCAGCATCTGCTCACGCAAAAGGCCCTCTCAGATCATCAGACGTGGCTCAAGCGCACGTCGTATCCATTAAATCCAAACTTCTGTCGCTACTTCGTCGTCATTGCTAGGGGTCCTCTTCTCTGCTCCCTGGAGCTGCACTGTCCAGACTCGTCCAGTCACTTTCCCTCCTTTTTTCCCCCCAACGCGCTCACCCACCTCAGGACTGAACCCCTCCTCCCGCATTTTAATCCCCCCCACGATCATGGTCCCGTAGCCTTGCTGTCCTGAAAAGACGATCAACGACCTGACTCTTCCTTTTGCGCACAACTCCCGACGACGCCTGTCCGCTTCTCCTCGGCATTGCATCTTCTCAGTCGGGCTCTCCTCCGTTCGCCGCCAGCGAGGGCTTGTCCCATTCGCTTTGTTCCCTACCGTCGGACCGCTCCCGCAGATTATGGGTTTGAGCGCGTATACCGGATATTGCCACCATGAGCTTCAACCTCCCTCTCCGGCCGAGCTCCAGCAGTATACGGAACCAGGCCAGCCGGAGCAGCTACTTCACCAACTTCACGCCGAATTCCTCCACTGAAGCCATCAACGGCCCCCTTCGGGAACCTGCCCGTGAACTGTTCGGCACCACCGATCGACTGATTGTCGGCGTCGATTTTGGAACCACGTTTTCAGGGTGAGTCGCATCTCTTTCACCTCACTCGAGCTTGGAGCACTTCATGATGGATCACTGCCCGAGCATGCGTCTACTTTGCATTCAATGCTGCCCCTCATGTCTTGATGCTCCTTGCGCACCTGTCAAAGCACAGACGGCCTCGGCATGGCAGTGGCTACTTGGGATGGCATGCTGACAGTTCACATCAGTGTCGCCGCCGTCTACACTTCAACGCCAGACGATGTTGAGATTATCAAGACGTGGCCCGGTGGCAACGGCATCACCTCTGATAAGGTGCCTACCGAGATCAGCTATGATTTCCCTGCAAACGCCGCTGCCGGCACCGAGCCCACGGTGAAATGGGGTTTCCAGTTCAAGCCCGAAGAGTCGCGCCTCCGTTGCATCAAACTGTTTCTAGACCGCTCACAGAAGCTGCCTTTCTACGTCAGCCCGCTGGACACGGCGGCGCAACTGAAACGTTACAACAAGAACGTCCTGGACGCCGTGAGCGACTACCTCACCCAAGTCTACAAGCACACCATGGACACTCTGACTCGAAGATACGGCGAGTCTTTCATGCAGTCCACCAAGGTCGACTTTGTCTTGACCTGCCCGGCCGTGTGGTCCGACGCAGCAAAGAACACAACGCTTCAAGCGGCCGAACGAGCGGGTATGGGGTCCAAGTCAGAGATTCAGATGATCAGCGAGCCCGAGGCTGCGGCTGTGTACACGCTGAAGGCGATCCAGCCGAACCATCTCAACGCTGGTGATAACTTTATCGTGTGTGATGCTGGTGGTGGAACCGTCGAGTAAGTCTGCGACGGCCTGCGACGGCTGGCGGTTGACCCGTGAAGACTGCTAATTGTGGCTGTAGTCTGATCGCATACAAAATCATATCGTTAAAGCCGCTAAAAGTAGAAGAGTCCGCCGTCGGAACTGGTGGTCTCTGCGGCAGCGCATTTCTCAACTACAGATTTGAAGAGCATGTCAGGAACAAACTGGGCCATAGCCGCTTTGACGAGATGAAGGTCAAGAAGAACAAGACGTGGCAGATGGGTCTGAGATACTTCGAGGAGTTTGTAAAGCGCAACTTCAACGAGGACGAGCACCAGGAAGTGAACGTGCCGTAAGTCATCCCTAAAAGTAAAAGTTGGAAACCTGAAGTCTCTAACTTGCTGTAGGTTCCCTGGCCTGCCCGACGACGAAGAGGCCGGTTTGGACTGCGGCTTCATGGTCATGTCGGCCGCGGAGATCAAGGAGATATTCGAACCTGTCGTCAAAGAAGTATGCGACCTTGTTCAGGGCCAGGTCACAGGCATCCGGTCCAAGGGTGGTGTCGTCTCGGGTATCGTGCTGGTGGGAGGATTCGGCCAGAGCGACTACCTTTACCGAAAACTCAAGACCCATTTTACCAGCGCTGCACCGCCACCATACACCGAACGACCAACCCACGGCAGCGTGACCGCGCTGCAGGAGACGAGCTCGATCGAGGTTATGCAACCAGTGTACGCCTGGACGGCCGTTGTCCGAGGAGCGGTTCTGCGAGGGCTCGAGGGCAACATGGTGATATCCCGCAAGGCGAGGTACCACTATGGCACTTCGTACGCAACGGTGTACGACGAAGAAAAACACTCGGTCAGCGAGCGATACTGGTCGCCGCTATGGGAGCGTTGGATGGTGTCGGACCGTATGCAGTGGCACATTGCAAAGGTGAGTTGGCGCTGGATTCCTATTCCCAGTCAGATCCCCGAGAACAAATACTGACCGATCTGCCGATAGGGAGAGGCAATATCGCCCTTGTCGCCTATCGCATTTCACTATACCCGAAACTTCAGGCCTGGGCAGTCATTACTGGTGACGGACGACCTGATTGCTTGTGAAGCAGACGACCCACCCTCGGCGTACACGCGTGACCTTATCCACGTCTGCACATTAACGACCGATCTCAATGCGGTGCCGAGGAGTCTGTTCACACGGTTGACGACAACGCGCGGTGTGGAATTCGACAACCTCGACTTCACGCTCGAGATGATTGTCGACAGTGCGGGCCTGGGTTTCGAGTTGAAGGTGGATGGCGTGCGGTATGGACGCGTCGATGCCGAGTTTCATTGAGAGACGACTGGGCGTACATCGGAAGGCGAACGGGCGGGCATAATGAACAAGGGGAAAGATAGCGGAGGAGGTAAACTGCACGAAAGGAGTTTTGGGCATATAGGGACTGCAGGAGGCACTCATCCGCGTCTTGACCCTCGGCATCTCTCTCATTATTTATAGTTCGTCAAGATACAGACAGGCTCGAGAACACACGTACTGCATAGCTCGCCAAGCTAGAAGCACATTGTGCCCCCGGGTTGACGCGTCCGCAAACGTGCATGGCGAGGCATAATTGTTCGAGTCGACGTTGACAATCATGCTGATTGGTCTTGGTTTTAGACAAGCTGTAACTCTAATATGCCGGCGTGTTCTGGGAAACGATAATTAGTGAGGCGCACATGTTCGCCCCGCATGCTCGGATAGGGTAGAGTCTCAACCGTCGTCAAGGGTACTTATCAGGGTCTTGCTGGACTTTTTTCTTCTTCTCGTTTTACAACCTGCTCGAGCTCGACACGACACGAAAGGTTGCAGCCCAAGCGGATGTAATCGATGCCGGGAATGCCGAAGTACAAATCACCGTACGAGCTCAGCCGAGTCGTTCTCCCCTTGCGGGCTAAGTGAGGCTGTGCAGAGCAGACGGCAACATGGACGTGGTGAAAACTTGCGTGTTCGGGAGTTTGCCACGCCACAGCCCTGTTTTCGAGAGGGATCCATTGGTGGACGCCGAAGCTTAGAAGGGTTGTGGGTGCGTTCGCCATTGGTTCGGCGAGGTTTGGCGAGGCGAGGGCTGGCTGGCTGATTTGTCCTGGGCCAAAGGACGGGTACTTGCGATATAAGACGGGATGTGGGAGCGATCACGTCCGCCCTTCACTTTCGACTCCAGTGTTTTCTCCACATGGCTCTCATGGCATTGGAATAGATCGGTTGTCGGGGACGAGAGTTTGAGTATCAAAGTTGGCCAACGTACGAGTATATACTATGTAAGGTCTGGTGCCTAAATCTGTCTGTGGCTCTCCTGCTGTTGCTGGTGCTGACGGAGTGGGGAGGGTTTCCTTCCTTCCCTATTCGAGCCAGGAAGCATAAAACGAAACCGAAAGGAGCGGCCCCTGCAGTAAAACAGGGGCGATGAAGTATGCCTCTGACACTTTGGTAGTCTGACGG